CCTTTGTCAGTCGATCTATGAGCAACAGATTTATTTAAGCCTCATTCAGGTCTCAATCAAGACTGGTAAATCCAAAGAATAGTACCATCATGTACAAATCGCCCCTGCACGTAAAACAATTCTTTTGCCTTTTTCTAGGAGCCTCCCTGCTTATATGCTAGTGCCTGTGAAGCTTTTATATAAATCAAGTATTTCTGATTCTTTACTTTTTCATCAAAATAACTTTGAATGTAAGATTCATAAAAGCTCTTGTCAAGACAAATGCCCAAAAAACATGCAAGTGAAAAAATAGCTTATAAATGAAAAACAGAAATCTTCAAATTTAATTCAATATTTAAAAAGTGAATAATTTTGTACCAAACGAAAACCAGGATAATTAAAAGTTCATGTGTCAACTTTCAGCTTCAAGCGGTAACTCGTTTATTATAATGTCTTGCTTAAATGTTTCAAATTAATCACCAATTACAATAATTATAAAAGGTACAAATTCTTGCAATAGTGATGCATGGATATTGTGCCTTTAGAACACACAGTTGCGAACCTGGGCATAAGTTCTTCTCTTTCGCATTAAAGAGTAAAAAATACTTTATTATTCAGGAAAACATTTGAAAGAATATAATTTGAAACAGTTTATACCATTTTAATGAGTAGATAAATATTTGAATAAGATATAAACATCCAAAATGTACCACACAGATTTTTAATCGATAATAGTAAACTTCAAAAGCGGTCAGAATTACTTCAAGAAAACTATCCAAATACTTCAATTGATCAGTTAATTTATAAGCATGTCTTGATTATAATGGCAGCTGTTTGAGTTTAATAGAATTTCTGGGTTTAAATTCATGAAAATATCTTAATAATTAAATATATTGAATAATCACATATTCTAAATCTATTCTCCACCTTTGCTTGGTAATCATGACTGGTCTTTATTCTCCCAAAAAGGTTAGTCCGTAGGTCATTTTTTTTTCCATAATGTTTTCATATGATTTTTTCAATTGTGATATCAAGTAAAGATCAGTCCATATTCTTCACATATGTTACAAAATTTTGTACATTTTTTATTCCTATTATAAAAACTCTTCAATCTCATATTTTCAGGTTATTTTCAAATTTTTTTTATCTATATCAGTTGATCACATTATATTTAAATCAATATTTTGAACTATGATCATAAGAGTTAATAATTTTGATGCAGAATTTTCAATTTTTAAAGAAATCCTCATAATAATAAACTAAATAAGTATAAGGTCTTGTTTATTTGTTGATAATAATCATATATATATATCGTCTGAATTGACATATCAATCATACATACGTTGCAAGGCATAAAAATAAATGTAATCATAAAAATGAAAATCAAATACCAAACAAACACCCAACAGATGTTATATTTTTTCACCTAGGAAATTTAACTTATTGTATTTTATTAAATATTGAAAAATCAAATAGAAGAGAGTTTGAAAATGACATGGAAGCACATTCTTTAACATGTCCAATGAACTTTTTAGAATGTAGTTTAAGCTTGCAATTTATATTACACTGTTCAATTTAGATGTGGATGTTATAAGTTTTAAAATGTTGTATGAAGCTTGTATGGAAAATATGTATAGATTTTTTATAGTAAAATAAATAATATATATGATATAAAAAATATCATACTACTTTATAATAGTGACGATCCATCTTACAAAAACTACAACTATGCATCGATCAATCACATAAAGTGTATAGTATAATGAGTACTAATAAGCCAAAAGTGAGGTATAACTAGCCGCTTACTTAAGAAATTATAGAAGTATTAAATTGTGAGTATTTGTATCAAATTCTATCATGCTAAGTTTTCTAAATATTAATTTTTTTTAATTTTGTTACACATCATTTATATATTTATTTAAAATAACATGCAAATCACATTGATCTGATTATTGGTGATATTAAAATATTATATGTAGTAGTAATGATATAAAAATGAAAACAATTCTCTAAACAAAACAAGCAAATTTTGTGAATTATGATATTTAGTGTCATATAAATCAAAAGAGAACAAAAAAGTAGATGACGTGCACATGATTGATGTAATTTGAAACATAAATATATTATTTTAAAATATATGAAATTAATGTAAGTGAAAATAAAAATAATAGAGTCAAATTAGTTTTTTTTAAAAAATATCATGTGCTTGTTTTGAACCAATCTACTTAGTCTCAACAGTTTTAAGTATGAGTTTTGTATCATTATCAATTCATGTTTCTTTTCACATAAGATGTATGAGTTTTATTTCTTTAAGAAATTTTGTGTAGATGTAATTTTAGCATCAATTGTGATTTTATAAATTTATATGTGTGTTTGTGTTTTTTATATTTTAGAATAATATCACTGTTTTTTTCAAATTTTATAAAGGAGATTTTGTGAAATGAAATTTGTCTATTTAAAAATATAGTATGAATGAATTGATAACTTGATTTTATGTTATAGATTTTATCACATATAACGGTTTTAGATTGAAAAAAAATCTCACAAATAATCTGATGGGAGTTTATCAATTTTGAGTTGAAATTGTTTCTATCTTTTTGCTTAAAAATTCATTTTCTTATATTTATGAACATGAAAGCATTCATATACGCATAAATAAAGTAAAAAGAATGAATGTAATGTTGACAATATTATATAAGAGTTTCAAAATACTATTTATACACATAAAGTGCCCCAAATAGTTTAATATATTATCAAACTAAGTGTATTGGACAAAATTCAGTTTTTCATTGCTAGTAATATTTACTCAGATGATTTTTTTTATTAATTATATTTTTTCATTGACCGTAAGAGAGCTACACCTTTACAATCTTGATAAATTGAATCTTCCTTGGTGAATGCTACTCTACGTAAGACATACAAGTCATATTAAGCAAACCAAATTTTGTTATTCAATCAATTTCACGTTGTACACTTACAAATCAAAATGTCAGATTTTTTCTTAAAAACATTATAATTTCAAGCGTTTGAAGGTGTACGTGACATGTACAATTAAACAATAATGATCTTACATATATTTGAGATGAAATTATGATAGAGTTCTTTCTTATGACTCTATCAACATGCATTATTTGTACAGGTTTGAAAAAAGATAGACAACATCCAAACAGTTCATGCATACAAAGAATAGAAGAAAATCAATATCGAACCATACTTTATAAATATTTGAATACACATTCATCTTAGTTGACATCCATATTTGAAATTACTCGACTAAGAGAAAATATTTGGAAGGTTTCTGTCAAACTAGGAACCATTGAACATGTATAACACAGATTAAAAAAAAAACTTAATCTGAAAAAAAACCATGAATTTATGCAGATTTGTATTAAAATTTTCGACTTATTCTCTATAGAAGGGAAAATATCTTTCACTATTTTGAACAATTCGAAGATGTTTTACTCTCCTGGTATGTGAATACAAATAATTTCATAAAAAAAATATCCATAGGAAGAGATAGTGCCCTTTTTTCTTCACATGTGTTATTGTGAAAATACATAATGCTTTGTCCATGAAATCATTAAATTAGTAAAATATTAGGTCCCATGTTTTTGATCGATCAATTGTACTTAGAGCACAAACTCACATTTACATATTACAGTTCAATTTTGAAATATGTATCCGATTTGCTATTAGAGTATTAGTCTCACCCGTAGTAAGTTTCATACCTTGTCACCGATTTATCAATGAAAATGTTAAAAAAATATCTCCTACCTATTCTCTAGGCTACAAATTGATGATCGTACGACTTATTCTTCAGAAATATTATTGCTTAGACAAGATTCATATTCGGGGATATCGGCTGAACTGAAGTTAGTGAAATTTATATTTGGTTCGTGATAGTGTGTGTGTGTGTGTGTCGTAAAGCTGTATATGTATTATTCAACAGAGTTGAGAGATTGGGAGTTTATCCTTTGAGTGGACAATAAACTCTATCTTTCATATATCTGTAATTACTCCATACATTTTACTCAAGATGGATAGTCGTATCTCCATTACGATCTTTGCTCGGTACGTTTCCTGGCTACGCTGAGAACCTTTTTGGGGGTTTTGATGTTTTAACCTTTTTGCATGAGTCTACGTTATCCTGAGGTAACCATGACCAATAATCATGAGAAATCCGCGCGAAGAATCGGGACGGCGAAGCAGTCAAGGGCAAGGCATGGAAAGAAGAGAGATGAGAGAGGGAACCTTTCCCGAGGCCGAAATTCGCACCGAGAGGAACAGCAGCAGCAGCGAATTTGGCGACGCCCACGGGAATGGGCACAGGACAATGCAAGCAAGCGACGGGACGAGGCGGTTACGCGAGTCTCGGCTTATCTCATCGAGCCATAAAAAGCAAGCAGTTATTGGGTTCCCGCTGGGTCGGAACAGCGGCTCGCCCTCTGATTGGACCCCCGTCAGCGGAATCTTCCTCAGAATCTCCGATTTCGAAATTCTCTAGGAATAGGTTTTCTCGAGTGCGAGCCCCCGCCCCGTCCCGGTCACGGGGCGAGATAAGCCCGAGCTGCTGACCCGGGCAGGTATGGTCATTTATTAATTATGATTAATAAGGCTAAAGCAGTCAATTTTCTGCCCGTTCGAATGCCGCGACCTGTTCCTCCCGGTTCACCCGAGGCGCGTTCCGCTCCACCGTACCGAATCGACTTAATTCGTCGTCGATCGCGGTTACGTAATCGGTTGAGGCCGGTGCCCCTAATCCCGCGCCTTAACCCATGTCGTAAACCGGAAATAATCTGGGGTGGGGGAGGGCTTTTTGAATGCACGTATATAAGCGAGCTTTAAATGGGTAATGTAAAGAGCGGGAGCGCACCCGTGATTTCAGGGACGCCTCACGCTCCGTTCCCGTCCCCGTCCGGGCCCGAGTCACTGCGAACGTACCGCGAGGGAAAAGAGCGTGAGAGTGAGAGAGCGAGAGAGCGATTGGGCGAGAGCGGGGCCGCGCGTCCAGACAGACAGACGTTGGCAGGCGCGGACGACGGGCGCGCCCCTCTCGGGCCTATATGTGTGGCCGGGCTCCTGGGGCTGCCGGTGCCATGGGACTGCTGCTGCTGCTGCTCGATTCGGGGATCGAGGAGGGACGAGAAATGCTGGCGGGATAGGGGGCGAAGGAGGGAAGGGAAGGGCCCGAGCGCATTTGTCGACGAATGTCACAGTGGCCATTGCGCGTGCTCGGCGAGGGAGCTCTCGATCGCTGATCGGCCTCGTGCACCGCGGCGAGCGAGCGAGTAAGGAGCGACGGGGGAGCAGCCGACGACTTCGACTTCGACGATTTGTCGAGCTGCAGCTCGAGGAGCTGTTTCAGCTGCTGGACTTGCATTGTCACTTGCGTTGTGCATCATCGACGTGAGGTTGTTGTGGCAGGAGCTGAAGCTGGAACTCTGGAACTCGTAGCTCGGCCGAGTCGTAGAGATTAGGAAGCAAGGAAGGAAGGAAGCGAGAGGTTTGGTTTGGTAGGCGGGGAGGCAATGTGCGGCTGGTGAGGGTGTGTGCGTTTGTCGAGGCTTGGTAGATCTCGGAGGCGCGGGGATTATGCAGGTTGCAGAGCCTCGGGGGAGCACAGGGCTCGTGCTGTAGCGAGCAGCGACGGACGGACGTGTGCGAGGTTTGGGTTTGGGTTTGGTTCGTGGGGGTGTGTGCCAATGCCTCGGTTTTGTGCGGTCGACTTGCGGGAGAGGCTGCAAATCGGGGCCGATGACTGGAACCTGATGTAGAGCTCGGCAAAGTGTGGTGCCTGGCACCAATGTGGGCATAACCGCGGCGCGCTTCGGAGTTGTGGCAGCGGGGGCGATTGGTGTGTCCGTGGGTTGGGAGCAGTGGGGAAGACAGAGCTTCGCCCGGGATCCAGTGACGAGTTGCTACATGATGGATGAGCTCATTTCGATGGAGGACTCGGGCTCCGACACGTTGATACCTCTTTCGCCTCCTCAGTCTTCTGAAAGGCTCCTTGACGATTTCGGAATCGACAATGCCGATTCCAAGGAGGGCAGTCAGCTCTCGGTCAGTCGCGGAGACGCAGATCTGGTGGAGAATGGAGCGCAAACCAGTAGCGCTGACAGCCCCCCGACTAAGAGGAATGCGAGCAGCATTGGCGCAAGTAGACCGGGATCGGCCACATCAACCAGAGCCGGGCTCTCGGGCTCTACGGCCACGAGCAAAATCACCGGCAGCAAGTCGAGCCCAGTAACGAGCAAGCTGTCATCATCTACTAAGAAAGCCACGACCGGAATTTCAGCTGCCAAAACGTCGACCAAGGCGACTCTCTCTTCCAGTTCTGCAACGTCGTCGCCCAGGCCAGCTTCACCATCTCCGTCGCCGCGGCCTTTCTTAAAGTCTTCGTCGTCTGCGGCTGTCGCCAGGCGAAGCAGCTTGGGGGGTCATGAAATCAGTCGTCTCCCCGGCAACTCCAATGGCACCAGCAGCGCCTCCAAGAACTCTGGCTCCCTCGCTTCCACCACGCTGGGAACGAGGAAGCGACCGACGGGCGGCTCTGTCAATCAGGAATCGTCTCCTGTCACTCCTGCTAGTCGCCCTTCCTCCGCCGGTTTGGGGTCGACGGGCAAGCCTGTCAGTAAGGAGCCGAGACGCGCATCGCTCGGTGGAATGAGTTCCCTCGCCGCTGCCAAGCAAGTACCGTCCAGAAACGAGCTGAAGAAATGGGCGTCGACTACACCATCTCTGAGCAAGCCTGCGACCAGTTCGAGCACGACGACTACCACGAGAAGTCCCAGCGTTACGTCCACGCCTCGAGCAGCAACTCCAGCCGCGAGCAAAACGAGCACCGTTACCCCTACCCGCGGCAGTCCGTCTCCCGCTCGAAGGTCCTCGTCTGTTGGGGCCGTGGCTAGGAACACCACTGCCACCAAGTCCACTGCTTCGTCTATGGCTAAGTCCCCGGTGACTCCCGGAAGTGCTCACAAATCGTCGCCTTCTAGCAATGGATTGAATTCCGCTCGAAGCAACAAGCTCAGCCCGTCGTTATCACTCTCCAGGCGGGCATCTGGTGGTCACGACTCCAGTCTGTCCAAGCATTCTTCCGTCAATGGTGACAGGTCTTCTCTTTCCTCTCCTGGCGCGGGGAAGGCTCACTCGCCTGTCATTGCAGACCGAGGTCCCAGCATGCTCACGAGGCGGAAGTCGATATCCGGTGCAGAGTCCCGAGACCCTCGTTTGTTGTCTCTTCCATCAGTCGACATGAAAGCTGGCGATGACGTGGTACGATCCTGATTCTCTCGAATCACTCCTGGCTGCTCAATTCGTGCCCAAATTATGGGATTTGGTTGAGCTGTTCGGGAAGTTGCTTTTCTTCGTCCTCTTTCGCCCTCCCGTTTCAATTTTGTCACCAACGGAGGCATAAGTTATCTGCATTCTGGTGGTCAGGTTAGTTGGAAGAGTAGATGTCACAAATGTGCGCCATGAATGAAAGCATCACACGTAGTTCCCTCTAACGAATTTTTTTCTGCTCTCCAGCGTCTGGAAATGAGGGGTCAAAAGCTCCGAACTATTGACTGCAAATTGGTTAACTTGACTCCGAAATTGGAGGTTTGTTATATCTCCACTTGTTTCCCTTCGGTCCTTTTCACTGGCAACACGATTGTGGGCCGTTTCGGTTTCGCCTTTGTTCCGTGGTGCTCGGCAATTCGTTGCTTTCTTCTGGTTTTAGAACACCTTCACACCACGTGTTTACGACGCTGTCTCAGTAATGGTTTTTTCAATTCTCTCTTGTGTGTAGCAGTGACTCACTCCGCCGACGACGATCTTGTAGTTTTTGCGACTAACCATTGGAGTACCTCCATACACTATGCGCGGATGTTGACTTGTTTGTTATCTTGTTTCCTGCAGTTTGTGTATTTAAGAGACAACAAATTGTCATCCCTGGAGGGTATCGAGGTTTTGAAACGACTGAAGGTAAAGCATTTTGGCATCGCGCTTATTTCCAACTTGGAGTCGTATTTCTGTAATCGAAGCTACGAGATTCGGACTATCGACCCAACTGTGTATGGATTGGGTTTGCTACGGCAGTCATTTTTCGTCATTCTTAGACCCACCATGTGATCAAATTTCAACTAGATTTTCGATGCCCGTGAGTCTATCATAGTACGGGGAATCTGCGCTCGTTGTTGACAATTTTCTCCACAGGTTTTGGATCTCAGCTTTAATGAATTCAAGGGAACTGGATTCGAAGCACTGGCCAACTGTAAAGCCCTCCAGGTACGTTCTTACATCGAAAAATTACCAGGGCGGATTTGTAGAGAGACACTTTATTGAAGACTTAATTGACGCTTTCGCAGCCAATTCAGCTTTACACCACTTTGCAATCTGGTAGAATAAATTGTTTAGATAGGACTCTGTCTACTTGCCGAATTGTAGTTTGACATTGATTACCCCAATCTTTTATGCTTGGCATTGCAGCAATTATACCTCGCTGGAAATCAAATCACTTCCCTAAGTGGATTGCCCCAGTTGCCGAACTTGGAGGTGAATCTCCTCTCATTGTCTTTGACCTCAGTCATTGCTCTTCTAAGTCTCAGTTTTGTCGCTGATTACTCTTCAATAAACGGAAGTCAGTAGTTGTAGTAGAAAACTTAGTCTTTGGGTCTGACGCAATGATTTTGAATGCACACAGTTCCTTTCAGTCGCACAGAACAAAATCAAGTCTCTCGCTATGGCCACTCAGCCGAGGCTGCAGGTACTTTGTACCCTCTTGTGAATACCACTCTCATTAATCACTTTGTCCACTTTGAAGGTTGATACTATTGTAGCTAGTGAGCAGGACATGCACTCGATTTTGTGGTGCTGTAATTTGATAATCTCGGCTTATCTGATCCCTCAAGGTTTTGGCCGCAAGCAAGAACAAGGTGTCAACTTTGAAGGGATTCCCTTACCTGCCCGCTCTTGAGGCAAGTATTGTCGTCTCATCATTAAATTCTGCGATACGTCCACTATTATGTGGCTCTATACTATCTCTGGCTTTCCTATCTTCTCTTTTCAACTCATAAAATTGCCGTATGGAGGATGCTCAAAGGTACTTTTGGCAGGTATTTTGTTGAGAGTACAGTTTGGTGAGCGCGATGGTATTATTTGCTAATATATTCGGTATCCACTTCATTATGTAGCATTTACGTCTGGAGGAAAATCCCATTCTAGAAGTTCCGCACATGGAGGCCGCTTTTATTCTTCTTTGCGGGCCAACTCTGAAGAAGTTCAACGATCGAGGTATGGGTTTACATCACTTTCCGCCCGTCAGTTTGTAACATGATTGTATCAAACGATGAAAATTGATGAGTATACTTGCCTCTAGAATAACGAAGGGTCAAAATTGGACGCAGACCTGTCTATTGAAGAACAGGAATTGGCAAAGCTGTATCCACCAAGCACGTCCTTGTGCTTGCACAACGGTTGGGAGCTATGCGATCCGGAAGAAGCTGCGGGTGAGTTTGACAAGTTCAGTCGTATTGCGTGTGATTATTTTCGTTTCTATACCGTATTTCAATAATTGGTGATGTTGATACATGTCTTGACTGAGATGAGGATGTAATATCTTTAAACCTCACACAGATGTATTACATCATGCTTCGAGTTAAGTCTCACCTTTCTCAACTCCTTCAAGTCCTTCCTGAGTTCCTGGATCTGTCTCACAGAATCTACTCTGGAGTTCCTTTCTGCCGAGTGGAGCGACAATCTACCTCCAGGTTACAGAGTGAAGACAGCTGAGATGAATTCTCCCCGCGAAGAGGATCCCTGTCTTTGTAGTTTCATATTTGAGAAAGTTGATGATTCTTTCGAGGACACTGAGCTATCCATGAAATATCAGTGGTTTGTCGGAGGAAAGACCGCCATGGAGTTTGTACCGATTGAGGGAGCGGTGGAGATGGTACCTTCTGCTCTAACTTTACTCTAATTGTTGTTGTCAGAGCAGCTCTTCCCGTTATTTAAGGAGTTTTCGCAAGAAGCAAGTAAATTATAGCTAGGGACATCGTTCTGTGATGCGCCTGTTTCAAATTGTAGCTCTCATCGACTCTGTAATGCGTCGTAATGCGTCACCCATCCTGTGGTAACAATTTGTGACCTTACTTTTGAACAGGAGTACTGGCCTCGACACGAAGATGTCGGTAACTGTCTGAAAGTCGAGTGCACTCTTATCCTTGGAGAGACCGAGTACCCTCCTGTCTTTGCTGTTTCCAAACCGGTGGCCCCAGGTCAGGAAGAGTGCGGTTCTTTAATACCTTTAAGTGATATATTTGTTACTTGGTATTACTAGGACGCTTGAGCTGAAGTGCCTTAGTATGGATGCTGAGGGCAATGGTGAAATATTGAAATTTCGCAGGCACTGGAATACCTAGAGTTTTAAGTTTGGAAGTGGACGGAGATTATGTGGAAGGTGGCATAATCAAGGGTGCAGCTACTGTAGCTTGGTGCGGTGGTACTCCAAGTAAAGGGATCGTCAAGTGAGTTTACCAGTATATCAACTTATGTCTTAAGTCGTTGTAAACCTTGTCCTGTGAAAAAACCTTCCTTTGAAGTCTACGAATACAGCTGTACTAAATGTGGAAAGAGGTCAGCCATTCGTTATACCTAGCATTTCATACAAATGGGCAGCTGTTCTCCAGGTCCTTTTTGGAAATCCTGTTGAGAATGTTTCCTCCCAAGGAAGAAACTACAGTGTGCAGGATAAACACTCTACTAAGTTAGTTTTTCTTTTGACTGAAGGTGGATGAGAAGTGCCGATGACAACACTCCAGTTGAGATAGAAGGAGCCAATAATCTGGAATACCAAGCTACTCTAGATGATGTCAATGCCAGTCTCATCTTCGTCTTCACTCCCGTGTCTGAAGAGGGAGTGAAAGGTGATTCTCGAAGGATTGTCACGCAAACAATTCTACCAGGTATGTCACGAGCTTCAAGATTTGAGCACGTCCACGGTTGTCAAGTAGTTGTATAGGTAACAGGCTGCTGACCGTTTATCCTTTGTCTTGCAGCTCCACCGTCCGTGAACAATGTCCAGATTGTGGGTGATGCTACTGATGGGAACGTTCTCACCGGATATGGCAGATACTTCGGTGGTGTAGAAGGTCTCAGCAAATTTGAATGGTTACGAGACGATGTATTGTCAGGGTGAGTTGTCACCAGATTCCCGCTGGATCTTGTTCTCACTGGTTTGGATACCCTCCTTTGATTCGCGAGGAGTAGCTTCAAAAGGCCCGGCAGAACTGATTATGGTCAATCCTTGCTCCTTTCCAAGACAGTCTTGACGAGTCGCGTGCACTTTGTGAGTGAGATCACCAAGATTGACGAGAACCTATGCTAAAGCTTTGGCGTCTTTCTTAATGGTTATATTTTGTAAGTGGTATACAACACAGGACATTGCCTCAATTAGATTGACCACCAAACATTCTGTATCGCTTGCATGAGATCTAAACTTGGCGTAATCTATTTTCAATGACTGAAGCACAGATAATGATCCTATATTTTACTGCATCCGATGGTAGTTGATGAACGATAGTAACACATGGAAACATACTTGATGAATCCTCAAATATAATCTATCAACATCTACGATTGTGAAAATCTTCAACATGATAATTCCTTGGTCCGGGGTAGTAATGTCTGTCAAGTATTGTTAGGTGCGACATCATTAGTTAAGATCTGACTAATTGTGACTTGTTTGTCTGGATTGTAATTCGTGCAGGCAATTCAAGCTGGTTTCGAGAGGAACCGTAGACTACAAACTTGGACCAGACGATGTAGGTCTACGGATGATGTTTATCTACACTCCCGTAAATTGTGAAGGTACTTATGAACTTAAAGCCGCTTTAAATACTTGAAAATTTACTTGTCTTTTTCCTCTATGCGGCCAGCATCGATGTCATGCTGGCCACATGAAGGAATCTCATTCGATCAAAATGCGGTTGAGAACCGCAAATAGACGTTTCCTATATGAACGTCTCTCATTCGTGCTCGTCCAATATGAGTTAAGCTTAGGAGTAATCTTGAAAGTGGAAAGATTTGCTCATCAGCTTTTCTAACTTCCAAAACGATGTTATGGCAGGAAAGCACGGCGACCCCGTATCTGCTATCAGCGGGAAAGTGCAGCTGGGTATGTTATGTGTAATATTTTTAATCTGATATTTCTCGCTTGTTCTGGTTTGGCCAACAATTCGGCGAGAGATTACACGTTTCTGATTCTCGAATGAACTACACTCATCATAATCTGTTCTGTGTGATTGATGTAGCCCCTCCCATGGTAAGCCAGATGAGAATTATCGGGGATCTGATCGAAGGCAGTAGGGTTACCATCAGCTGCTCTTTCAGTGGAGGCGTTGAAGGGCTTAGTCTGGTACAATGGTTTAAGACTCACTCTCCGCAGTTGCCGTCCGATGAGAACTCTATGGAGGCTCTCACCAGCTCCAAAATATCGAAGGTAAATCATCTGGGACTGAACTTAGTCGCGGGATGGCTCGAAGTTTGTCTACGTTGAAGTATGAATGCTACTGTGGATCATTCTACGTCCAGACAAACACACGTATTGGCTTTGTGCTATCATCTGGACTGCTAGGATCTTCAGAGCAAGCGAAGGTCCTGAAGTGCAGTCGTCAGCATTTGCAAGTCATAGCGCCAATATACAGGACAGAAGTAGTCGTACACTGCGAGTTGCCAAATGAAATTGTGTCCATGGGTGACGTGGAAGCTACTGAATGATTGGACACATCAAAGACGGAAGTTGTTCTCATCTGTGTCCCTCGAATTATTTATAGGCCTTCCGGATTCCTCTCGGTGCAGTAGGCTACTACCTTGTAGCCAAATATACTCCTGTGCGCTCTGATGGAGAAAGTGGAGTGCCGGTGTTTCTGATTTCTGATACTCCAGTTAATGGTAATGTTGTCACAAGATCCTGTTATCTGTCTTCGAATCTAGTATTTAAATTTTTTTATGTTTCTGCCTTTCCTATCTACATTTCAACCAACCATCAAGATGTTTTCACAAGTTGCCATGCGTCACTTCCTTGGTATCACTTTTAGAAGGACTTGAAGGTCCACACAAGAACCTCCGTTTAGAGCAACAACTACTCGGACCGTAATTTTGCTTATGACAACTTTTCCATTGCATGCTCTGGCCTAGGCGCAACCACGGTTGTGATCATAGCTGACGCTCAAGTTGTGGTTGACTTCAGTACTGCCACCTGGCTTGAACCTCCTCCGTATAACTGGTGACTACTGTGAGGGAAAAACTCTCTCCGCGCAATATGGGTATGTCGGAGGATACGAAGGAAACAGCGAGTTTTGCTGGTTTTTGCACGAGGTACCATCATGCAGAACTCTTAGTAGTTGTGTATTGCTTCAAATCTTGCTAGGCCTGTATCGTCTGAGTAAATTTTGGATATATCGAAATAATGATTGTTCATCTCCTTTCTCTTTGTCGCAAGTTGGACTATATTTTTCTTGGAGTAAAAATGCAAATCTCGACTACACTTTCTTGGCATTAAGGCTTCCCTCCGTGGAAACAGTCATACAGTCAAAATCATCCAACGTGTACCTCCTTTGGCTCGTGCAGAAAGAGAACGATTCCGGCATGCAAATCCTGGCCTCAGTCGGTCGTTTGGAGTATGAGATAACGAAGTTCGCTGTGAACAAGTATATATCTTTCAGGTGCACTCCTGTTAGAGATGATGGAGTGGCTGGTGAAACCCAGACTACATTCGGCTCCGAAATCATCCGTCCTGGTATAGTCATCTATTGAAGCATTCACGGTCGATCGGTTCCATGTTAGACTGCTTCTGATTTTGTAGTCTCCTTACGTGCCAGTTCTTCGCTTTATTAAACTCATGTTTCTGTATCTGTACCGCTGTTCATACGCAGGTAACCCAAAGATAACTTCGATCCGTATAATGGGCACTCCTATTGAAGGAGAACAATTATACCTGGAAAAGGAATACTGGGGCGGTGAGGAAGGTGCCTCGAGACTTCAGTGGTATCTGGTAACATTCTGATCATTCTCTCTTTAAATGTACGCGCTCTCATTTTAGTTTTCGAAGAACTCAGATTGCAAATCACTGGTCATGATCTTGTCTGTTTCTAGCTGTCTACTGAACCCTAAAATCGGTCTATCGTTTTTCTGAGTGGAAACAGACACGACCAGATGGGACACAGCGAGAAATCAAAGGGGAAACTGGAACTTCGTACGTCGTCAGACCAGAGGATATAGATGGGTTGCTTTGTGTATCTTGTGAGCCCATGCGAATAGACCGTGTAAGAGGGCCACTGGCAATATCTCCAGTCGTTGGTCCTGTCCTTCCATGTAAGCTTCTAAACCAACCTGACCTTTGTCCTCAACTTGGCACTTATCCTGGCGAGGCAAGAAAGATACTCTGTGAAATGTGGACGATGATATCTTGTAAATGTGCAAGTAAATAGTAGTATTTAGTTCTAACGGTTTTCTGGTTGAACTAATCAGCCCTTCCTACATGCGAGAGCCTGGAAATATGTGGGGATCCTGTGGAAGGAGGATCTCTGAGTTTTGAAGCCACCTACAAAGGCGGGTACGTGTCCAAGACGAACACTCTGACTGTTCTCCTTACTTTAAAATTCTCCTTATTGGAATTATTTTGGAAGTCCAAGTTAATGTTGATATCATCTTACTGGAAGAGCGAGCAATGGTCATGAGTATTCGATCACTTAGTTATTATTTTAAGCTTTCCATCTTAACACAACAGTGGCGCTTCATGGCACAAAAGGTATCTGCAAGTAGAGTATCATAACCTAGATACGCCGTTCATTTACTTCATTTATCTCATCAGATACTGACTCCCTGGTGTGACGTCTTTTTGTCCCCTCTGAAATGCAGTGAGCAAGGAATATGCCGATATCAGTGGTATCGTCTATATCCTGATGGTAGAGATCTGAAACTACACAATGACGGTGAGTTCGGGAATTTAATATTGATGTTTCTGGCTGGGCTGGCCACTATCTTCAACTTATCTTCAGCTAGTCACTAATGTTTCCGGCAGCGTATTTATCTTCTCAAGATCCTGAGAAGTATTCATATGTCGGAGGAAACAAATCCAGAGGTCACGAGCAACAAGGAACGGACACGAATTTTCTTCGAAGAATGTGCATGGAATAAATTGTCTCAGCTAGTGAACAAGGCGTGGTAGCGGAAACCTGTGTAGTCGGTCCAAGGAGCATGTCTACTTTGGTTATAGGCAAGTTGTATACCCAAGTCTCATGAATTGTAGATAACATTAAGTTTGTTTTCGAGTTACTAAAAAGATGAGACACTTTCAAATTGCTGCAGAATATTTGGATCTCAGCTCCGAGGATGTTGGTTGCCACATTCAGCTTGTTTTTACGCCCGTTCGCAAAGATGGCATGGCGGGTGAACCCGTGGGCGTTACTTCTGACGTCGTAATCGATGGTCTGTTACATGGCCATTAACTCTCGGTTTTTTCCAGTTTAGTTTTTTATTTGATGATTTCATTGAACGACGGTACTTAAGGGAATACCTCTGATACAAATGTTTTCTGAACACAGCTGAGCCTGAAGGAAAAGACCTATTTGTACCCGAGTGTCATGAGGACGTTGAAGCTGTGCCCAAAAGAGTGTACTTTGGTGGCAAAGAAGGCCCCGGAGAATTTATCTGGTATCACACAACCTCAAGACCAGAAGGAGCGCACCTTCCCAAGGACGTGATACATCTCTACAGTGGAATGTAAGTCAGGAAGCTATTTTTCTTCAAATAACTCAGGATTATATCGTGATGTCAACTAGGAAGCTCAACTTTAGCTGATAAAATAGGTGACTTCATTTCATGATCCGCATCTACAAACGCAATCACGCTATGATCCCAGTTTTGTTACTTTGGGAAGACAGAGGTCTTGCGGTTTGAGAGCCTGTTTGATATTTCTACTCATTGTTATAATAATTTAATAACCTAGAATATGTGAACGTCTTTTCATAACGGAGGATAACTTCAGTGGGAGCACCGCTGTTCTTAACCGTCCAAATTGTTGAATATCAGGACCTACACTCCAGACCTTGACGATGTAGGAAAATACCTTGTGCTTCGTTGGACTCCTGTGCGCGCTGATGGGGTACGAGGACAACCGCTCATTGCTTGTAGCAGGGGGCCCGTTATGGCAGGTAAATAAACATCGTGGTACTGCTTGGCAATTTGTCGATGTTTGTTTCTATCGTAATGCACTCGTCCCCTTCATTGACATAACCCGCACGTGTTGCGTTGCACGTGTTGAATCGCTGAATGCGTATCAAACTCACTGAACATCCTCGTGACAATTGCAGTTATTGGATGGAATAACAAAGACTTTGATGTGAGTTATGTGAATTTAATTATCTTTCATGATGTGTATGACTTCAGCACGTCCAGCCGTGTTCAACGTCGGCGTGCGGGAAGTCTCGTTGGGTATGTTCGTTGGTGAAGGAGATTATTACGGTGGATATGAGGGTCAGAGCAAGTTGAGCTGGTACCGCCATTCCGCAGAGGGCTATCAAACCTTAATCCAAGGAGCAACTTCGAAGACATATGTAGTGTGTGATGATGATTACACCGCTCAAATCATCTTCGGGTGAGCTTTCATTTTGTGTTTGGAATTGTCTCATCACGTAATTAAAGTGAATCCATCTAGGAGAAGTAAACAGTCTATAATATGTAAGTGGTTTAACTGCTTCGTATACCATCATCAGGTACACCCCTGTTCGATCGGATGGCGTTGTGGGTGAGCTTGTTCTCTCAGAGCCAAGTGCTACCATCTATCCTGGTAAGTTTTGCAGCTGGTGTTCCCATGTGAAAATCTCATTTCTGTATTATATGTAATGTCAACGGCAGTCCCTTTAGTTTAAACAACGCGAATGAGATGTTGTCAAGTTTTTCTCTCTCTGGAATGTTTCATCGGCCGAATCGTCATAAATTTTCAACAAAAGATTAGTTAATAAATTTGGTCACCTTCTTTGCTCCAGAGCTTCCCCGTATACAAAAGTTGGTCATATCTGGCAAGGCCATTGAGGGCGAGATTCTGACAGCTCTGGAGGTAATTCCGAAAGGCGATTCTCAACAACGATCATGGGAGAAATTTAAGAAGGAGATTAAGTACAGCTGGTAAGTAATTTCAGACGACTTCTGAGTAGAGCACAATGATACGAGTCGTTGGTTCGACTTGGAAAGATTTCAACTAATTATAAGAGGTCGTCTAACTAGCCACTAATGTTGAAACTATTAGGTCGCGATCTCAACTCGAACAAGGAGACGCAGACGATTTCGAAGCCATAGCACTGCAGAGGGCTTGTACATACAAAGTACGCCTTGAAGATGTTGGATACTGTATGCGCTGTGAATGTCTAGTCTCGGACATTTTCGGCAGAATGGCGGAACCAGTTGCTTGTGTGACGCCTCCAGTTAATCCAGGTGCGTTGCCCGCAAATACTTGCACACAAGAAAGTGATAGGTTTTACTCAATGCATGATTGTAATGGAATCATGGGAGTTTCTGCATGTTGTGGAGGAAAACAGTAAATAATGTCCAAGTCCGTGATGAATGAGTAAGATGACGGGAGAAATACAAGTGGGACCATTAGTTTCCTTTTCACTTAACACAAATGGAAAGCTTGTACAGAATCGCTATGTATGTGTATCCTAGCTGACCTCTGTTATCACAACATGGGGTTTGAAGCTAAGGTTTTCTTGTCGCTTGTAGGCCTTCCAAGAATCGACAAACTGGAAGTTGAAGGTCGAGGTTTCCACACCAGTCTGTATGCTGTTAGGGGCATTTACTTCGGAGGAAGAGAGGGCAATAGTACTTTACAATGGTTTCGTGCAATGGCTGGCAGTCCAGATCTGATACCAATATCGGGTAAATTCTGAATCATGTCCTGTATACTTAGTAACCAAGTAGCTGAAGCTTGAAACATACGTCAGACGACAAGGTTTCTTGTAGTCTAGTTGTGTCTATCGTGACAATATATTTTCATAGTAAGAACCATGGGCTCTACTGTTCATGAGGAGCACGCTTTTGATATAACACCTTCATTAATGGCTTGTATCGGCGAGCACAACCAGGATATCCTTCATTGGTCTGAAACTTAAGAATTTAGCCAAGCAGAGTCCAAAAGGTCGAGGAACTCATTCGTGTTCATGGTGTTTCTGTTCCAGGTGAAGTCGGGCGCATGTATGAAGCTAACGTGGATGACGTAGGGTACAGACTAGTTGCTGTCTACACTCCAATCCGTGAAGACGGTGTGGAAGGTGTCCCTACATCAGCCTCAACGGAGCCCATTCAAGTTGGTAAGAATTTTATATGAAACATTGGATGTTTTTGATCATTTTGGCCTTAGTGGAGTCGGGTGGAAGCTGTAAGTTCTTTATGTATTGACTACGACTTGCCGGATTGTTGACTCCAGAACCCGAAGTTGCACGTGAAGTCAAACTGAAGTTGGAATTGGGCAAAGTGAAGTTTGAGGTGAATGCCCACCTCACCTTTCGTGCATCAACGTTGTCGAGGGCACATTATTTCCCCCCATCTTCTCTGTCATGATTTAATCCATAAAACATATGTTTGGAGCTGTTCATGTTATACTCACGCTCCTCCGGGGAATTGGTCTTGTTTGTGGTTCGTTGTGGTGATGATGGAATTGTAGGCTTTGCGGGATCGAGATCGATCACCGATGAAGGTTTGCAATTTAGCTCTATTCTCTTGTTACCAAGATCAGATTTTAGGTGAAGTTGCCGTTGAAGCTACAGGCCGTCTTTGAGATCTGAGATTTCATAGCTAGCCGCGGATCTGCAAGGGATCTGACGATTGTATGGACAATTTGCACTACAGGCACAGCAGCAACAAGGACTCGGGAGCTTGGAAAGAAGAGTTTTGAATGTGAATATGAAGAGGCTGAAGGTGGTGAAGCCTGCCAGCAAAACGTCATTTTCGTCAACGGAAATCCGTGGAACCTATGCGCCACCATTTCACGTAAGTGTTTCTTCACTTGTTTCTGGACAGGTCTGGTTGAGAAGGTGGAATTCCGCGTTTGCTCACCAATATCACATGGTCGGCATTCTTATGCAGGTTGAAGTATTCCGCAACGACCAGCATCGGGTGAAAATTGTGATTGACAGCGAGAACGAGGTTGATTTGATGGTTCAATCGCGGCACATCCGCGATGTCATCGTGCTTGTCGTGAGGGGGCTAGCTCAAAGATTCAACAGCACCCCCTTAAACTTGTTACTAAAGATGTAAGGATCCAGGGGCAACTCTCCTGGATCTGGAGTCGTGTGGGCAGACTAGATAGGATAGACAAGCTAAAGTAGCTACTAAATTATTCTCCTGTTGGGAGGTTGCGTCTAGGGAAGTTCAGAGAACCTTGCTTTTTTTTCCCGAAAGTTTGGTGAGTACTCTTTAGACTAGGTTGGAAGCGTTCCCCGGGGCACTTTTTCATATTCCCCACAGAGATGTCCGAGGAGGCTTGGAATGGAATTATCATCGACAAGCGTGACCCACACTATCCAGATTTGGATCTACGTAGTATTGATCAACACTGAAGCTAGACCGGCGGAAGGGAGAGCTGCGGCTGCGGACCAGTCTCTGCTTCTACGCTCATTTGATCGACTTCTTGACCTTTTTGGCAAGGTTTCAATTTAGGCAGAAATCTTAGCGCACACTTACAAGTCAGGTAGGACGTAAGCTTTGTAAATGGACTGATAAATATTTGTTGATTAGTTACCATGGCTCTCCTTGCTTACAATCAGTTCCATCTCCATGTACTCTGCTAGACGGGTGCCAATTCTGAACAGTGGCGGACATTAGATTTTCAGTGGAGGCGACAGCCTCCACATTTGGTCATGTGTTGAAGGATCTGGTCTCGTGGTGGAGACTATATGATGTACCATTATTTAATCAATTACTACTGCTGTATGGACAGCGTTGCAACAGACTTCTTCTGTACACCTTGCGTCGTCTTCGTTCGCGTGGTTCATGGTTTTATTACTCTAATAAGCACGACCTGCGCCATGGGATCATTCCCTCACCCGAATGTACCTCGTCGAAATGGATCGCAACCTTCAGCCAGTGCAGTGGAATGGCATTTCTGAGGTTGTACAAAACAAAATTTGCTCCAAAATCGATTCTTCCAGTGACTCAGAATCAGCGGCACAATTATGGAAGTCACATCATCATTCGGTCGGCTAATTGTGCAAAAGCCAAAGATATGTGATCCGATCTGATGTGGGCACACAATCAATCATCATTAAGAACGGCCTTCAGGTCGACGTCCAACCCGAATATGGCTCTACGATCAAAATCCAGTTTCCACTTACACATGCATGGACGAAACAGCTCGACATATGAATTGGCAACAACTGACGATGGATCTAACGCCCAAGAGGCGAAGATCCGGTCCCGTCGTCAAGAGGCGAGCAACGCTGCGGATGAATCTCACGTCCAACACTCGCGCACGGAATCTCGTAGGTGGGTGGGCAGTAGCAGGTGGGAAGCAAGCATGGACCTCGTAGTGATAATGCACAGACAGTTCTGAACGGTTGGAACTCGGAACCTGGCTGAAATTTTGGGGGCTGGTAACGCACGGGTCCCTTCTGGAGAATGCTCAGAAGGGATCCGACGACGACTCTGGCCGCTCTGCTGGCGGCTGTGATCACAGCTACTTGCCAGAGGACTAAAATACAAGCCTCGGGGTTATTATCGACCTGTTTGAAGATCAGTCTGCAGCTGCTGCTGCTTCTTAAAAGACTTATCTATCACATTGCCAAAGGCCACGAGGTACCACACTTCGCATGTACTGACTGACTAGTGGCCGGAGGGCCTTGAAGTGGACCGTTCTGTCGAAGCGTGCAGTCGATCGTCGAAGCAGAAGTTTGAGAGTTGCATCTTGCCATTCATTCGGTCGGTCGGGTCGGTCGATCGTCGTCTTGGGAGGAAATGGCAAGGCGAGCGCAGTCTGAATGCTCGGACTCGGTGCTGTGGGTGCCAGTGCTCGTGCTGACAACTGTGTCAGCACTTTTCCACGGGCCAGCTCTGTCAGCTCATGCGTGGGGCAGTGATGGCCACCACGTGATTTGCAATATTGCAGAGGTTCGTGTGACTGCACTAGCGTACAGTACTCCCCTGTCATCGTTTGGATGGACCCTCTGACATAGGGTGCAAACTTGCCATGCCAGGTTGGGTTGACAGATTTCTCTGCTGTAAGCACATAACGAGCTCAGAACCAGTGCAGAAGCGTGTGCTGCACTCGACTGCATCGGAGGGTTTCGCGGCACTCTCATGCACTGGTTTTGTCTCCAGCACATTTGACGTTCTGTGATCTGTGGGAAGAGAACCTGATTCCGTGTTCTTCTATCGACTTGTTCAGGCGCTGCTGACTGAGATCGCTCGAGAAGCAGTGGAAGCTCTGCTGCCTGACAACGCTGACGGCAACCTGTCGAGCATCTGCCTGTGGGCCGATAGCATCAAACGCCAGGATGGATACCGATGGAGTGCCCCGCTGCACTATATCAACACCCCCAACGGCGCCTGCGACTACAAATACATCAGTAATACATTTCCTCCCTCGATGCATGAGTCCCTTATGACTGTTCCCTTCCCCGGGACTCATGTCCATGGACCCCAAAATGGTTCAGGGGACCAGCAACTGAAGGATAACTGTCCACTGTCAGAAGAGTCCTGTCAGACGACAAGGGCAACACGAGGCTCACAGTGTCAAGAATTTCAGTAGGCAGAGTAGTGGTGTGCAAGGAACGAATGATCCTAGAATATTGCCGAATTCGGCCGGCCGACGAACGAGTCGAAGCATCTGGTCTCGAACTTTTACCAAGCTCCATGATGCTGTCTTTCACTACAGGAGACTGCCGCGATGATGTGATCATGCCAGGGTTTTGCGCTTCTGGAGCCATCAATAACTACACGACTCAGATGGATACCGACCCTGACCAGCGTACCTCCCATGACCCACCACTCTCACTCGAATCCATCTCTAAGACTCTTAAGATAGTCATGCTTGGACATGCCCCAAACAAACAAAGTGAAGTAATGCATCCTATCATAACCAAAAGAAAACGCAACTGAATCTGTTTCCTCGAAGAAATCCTCTTAGACTAGCACGAGCATTCAAGTCTATATATATCCAATCACACAAGTCTTCGCTTGGCTGATGTATATGTTCACTGCTGCAGACAACCTGACGGAAGCATTGATGTTCCTTTCCCATCTGGTGGCGGACATTCACCAGGTTCGTACCCAGCTTTGACTTTGGAAATAGGAGGGCAATGAGGAAGTTGCGTTCTTACTAGCTCAGTGCTTCTTGAACAGCCTCTCCATGTGGGATTCGAAGGAGACCGCGGAGGAAACTCGGTGGATCTTTTCTGGTACAATACCAGAACCAACTTACATCATGTACGTACACTTCGGCAGCTCTCGGATAAGAGGAGTAGACAACTTCTGGGAATAGTCGTCTCGTGGTCCTGCAAAGCTTGTGCGTCAATGTCGAAATCTGATAACCCAAGTCCACTGATGATCAGAACCTTGCGTGCAAAACAGGTTTGGGACGCGGACATGATCACCAAATCGAAGAACGTGAACTTCGGTGGAGATATTTCGAGGCTGACCAAGGCTCTTCTGAAGAACATCACAGTAAAGCTACTGCCTCTTTTGGATGCTATGGTCTGGAACAAATCTAAGAATCAACGTGCACTTCACTGTCACCGAACGGCACCATGCTCGTCCCAGGCCCTTCCTGTACTAGACGAGCCTTGTTCCTTGTCCTGCAATCCACCGAAGGGCAAATAGTTGGAATCCTTACTCACTCACTCGTGTCTTCTGACAAAAAAGATGCCGCAAATCCGAAGATCATATGCCTACTTCGGTGGCGGATACGATCCGTTTTCTATCGTACATGTAGACAAGCACTTCTGACTACTTCTCCTGAAAAAAACGCAGAGCGTTTGGAAACGGGATGCGAAGGCCTGGAGCACATGCGGAGGGGGTGAAATTGCGTGCCCAGATCAGTAAGAGCTGTGTACATCTATTTGACTTTCCGTTGTAATTCTCAACATTCCAGCTGATTCCAGCTCCGAAGACGATCTTCTGGCGTGTATCTCATTATGCAAACGAGGAATTTGTTTGTGGCCGAGTTGCCATTTTGATTGCAAAGAGAGGGACCTTCAAGCCAACACACCCTGCGAACATTAATAATGAAGATGACTACGAGAGCTATCTGCTTCATGGCGATGAGTAGAGGAAAATAACACTCGAGATTTGGCCTGAAACAGGTATGCCCGGGAGAGCGTTAAATTAGCGTGCCAGTTCGCTTATCCTGACGCTCGGAGGGGCGCTGTCCTGTCTGGTAAGTGTGCCCGGGTTTACGAACCCTTGCTGGAATATTTCTCTAACCCAACTCGTCTCCGTTTTTCACCGTCGCTGTTTCTGTTCAAAGTGAGTAGGAAGAGTCATATAAGCCTGGAGCTCCGTTGTCGCTCCGTCCTTGGATGCAGCCCACGTAGCGTAGTGCAGTTTTGCAAATGAGATCTGTACAACAACGCCACAATTTTGGTCCAGATCAAAAATAATTTCATCATTGTACACGTACAAGGGTCTAGTAAGAAGAAGCTTTCCAGAAGATTCGCAATAGGCGAATCTGAGGCAGGATGGACCAGGTCCAGTGCGAAATCCTTGGGAGTTGCCTAGTCATCATATGTCATATGTGTCATCCATAAACGGAGAGCCTAGCTAGAAGTCGAGAGGTTGATATACTTACTTGAACCCTGAAGCAAAAAACGTTTGATGAGAGGCCAAGTTCCTATTAAGTCGTCCACATTCTTAATGTAAATTTCATGATGGATCTTCTGTCGCAGATGCTTATTTCCAGACAAGAATTCCAGTAGCCCACAAGAGGTTGGCACAAGCTGCAGTTCGCCTCGCTTCTATACTAAACGCGATTTATACAGAAGTCTAGACTGGACAAGATCTTACGTACGGTGGTTACATACTTATGGTTAATATGGTAGAAATATTGCTGATCAGAGTGAGACAAGCTAGGGTACCTAGTTCAGAAGGCATGACCAGTTGCAAATTACTCATTAATACATTACCACGTAAGGACTTCGGTCTGAAAGAGTCCTTAACTTGAACGTTGGGTATCTTACAATCAAGGGTAATAACTTCCATCTTCGAGATTGAAACATTTCGAAGTGATGCAGATGCTGTCTAAATCTTAAACATCTTTTTCTCCCATTTGAGCTTGCGAAGTTCGGAGCCACTTATGGATATGAGAATTGTTTTGCTAGTGTTCAGTGTTTAACTCCTCACCATTAATTTGACAGTCAGCAGCACTTGTCCTCGTCCTTAGATTTCGTCGTACTTGTTGCAGTGTCATGTGAAGATTTATGACTGGTTAACAACATGTCCTGCTCTTGTGCAATATATGAGTCAGTTTGAGCGGAAGTTCTTCTGCCCAGAGTTCAATACTTCTTTCACATCGATCAAGCATTGAAGTAAAAAATGGATTTAAGCTTCTAATGATAAATTGAAATCACCAAGACCAGTGGCTAGGTTGAAATAAAAGGGTTCAAATACAAACCAACCAGAGAAACTGAAATCTGTTTTACTTTTGATATTTCGATGAAAATGTAGAGTACATATGAAAGCGCTGAAAGCTGGGACAACCATCTCCTTGCCGTGCAACGCAGGAGTAAGAGTTAAAGGTCAGAACGCTGAGGTTGATTTGTAAATATTGTCAACGCCTGTGATAATTTTGAGACTTCCCCTACGACTAAAACCCACATCTGTACAGTTCCAAATTACCTGATTACATCAAAATTGATTGTTTCAGTTTAAGAATAATTCCATGTCGCTACGTCTGTAGAATCCACCACACCAATACTGATCACAAGTAAGTTGTGATGCGATCGTCATCAGTGGAGGCTCTTAATCGGCAGCTCTGTCCCAAGTGCACGTCACCAAAAACATATCTGCAGGAAAATGCAAAAGTCAATGCCTCATAGCTTTAAATAATAAAATCATGTCAACATTGGCGTTAACAAGAAGCTTCACATCAAGGAAAACGTAGAACCTGAAGCTGAGAATTCAGATTAAAACTAAAACTACCTATTCTTGAAACGAACCTGTATTCGCATCGTTCTGGAAACCCACACCGAGCTCTACCATAATCCCAATAGCAGTCCTCATCTCTTAAAGGCTCCCGTTTGGCTGTTAAGGAGGGTGCCCAAGATATTAAATATTAGTCTGCAGAGTCGAACTGATGGTTACTTACTCTCCGCTCATGACAGTTTATATGGCTCTGGAGAACTAAAAGAGTGCATCATTCAACATGGGAACCTATTTATGAATCCAAGATGACAAGCTAAAGGCTGACAAACCTGTGGAACAAGTCAAGACCTGACTGACAACAATAGCACTCATGGCAACAAATCTTCTTTCAAGATATAAGCAACTTAGACAAGGAACATAAGAAACAAGAACAGTAGCGTTGTTTGGTAAAACGCCTGACCTTTGGATACGAAGGATTTTTTAGCGTATGGATGATAACTGTGTACAGTCTCGAGCCATAGTTCTCGCAAGAACACTGGTGAGCGCAAAATGTTGCGATGGTCCACTGCACACGAAGAAAACCTCCCTCAGATATTTTCCAAGGCCTTTAAATCCAAGCTCCAAAAATCACAAACGTGCGTTAATTTCATACCGTCGAAAAACTACTGTTACTCCAATAGTCCCTAAATGCAAAAACAAGGTAAGCTCATACTCGCCTTTATCAAGCTCCCACACTGCTGTCTTTTTCCCTGGACGACTGGTGCCATCTTCAAAAAAGGTTATGTACTTGACACGTCCATCTCTGTTCATGTTGAAAGAGATGTCCTGGCCCTTCTCATGCTCGACCTCAAACTCTTCCTGCACATCAAGACCATCGTGCGCTCTCTGCATACACGGTGGTAGCATATACTGGTTACCTCCATATGACGTTGGTATTATTTATGAAACTGACGGTTAAAGTTGTGCCAAATGGTCAGTCTGACCACAATCTCACTTTCGAATGTGGTTACAGCACCTACATGTTTTCTTGCTACAGGCATTTGAAATTCAAGTGCATGAGCCAGAAACACACAACCTTGTTATAAACGATTCCAAGAATCCTCCATTACAAGGCTCTCTACACACAGAGATCAAAAGGAGATGAAAGATGCACACCTGGGGTGTTCGAGAGATATTGACTCGAGGACCAAGCCAATTCTTGCAATATGACAGTGAATGGTAAGGTACCTGCAGGATGGCAGCTCCATAATATAATCCAACTACTCAGCATGAAATATGTATGGTTTGTGCAACTTTACTACAAAAACCAGTTGCTAACTCGACTAAGAACTATTTATGTAAATATCTCCAACCTCAACCTCTCAATAAAAATAGAGGATTCCAGTTGATAGTAGTAACTTTACCGTCAAATCTCCGCTTGCCTGTCTATAGGTTCCTTCCACCTTCGCTCCAGATCTAGAAGTTTCAGAGCAAATGTCACTGACTGAAACGAGTTCGCCAACCGAAGCTGGCCATCTGATATATGTGGCATTACGATTTACTCCAATACTTGGCAATAACAACAAGGTTAAGCGGAAAGTATTTTGTCGGCGGCATAATTTAAGGAGCTGGCAAGCTCAACGCCATTATCTATATCATGGAGGTGAAACTACCAAGCGTTTCAAAACAATGAAGGTGTGTGCGAGCATAACCTTGTGGACATGGCTCCCCCTTCAGTTTCATACACGATGTCAGTAATTTGCCAGTTCTCAGGGTAAGGCTTCGCAGTCGGTGCAAAAGTGTAAGAGACCTGTCCGACATGTTAAAGAAGGTGAGAACGTAGTACCTTAGAAGTAACCAAGAAAGTATCAGCTGGAAAATGCGAATCATAAGAGTTGCAACAGAGGAGAATTGTCTTCTATGTACTTCCCTCAACGAAAATCCAACTATTAGTGGGTTCCACTTATTAAAAAGGTTGCCATAAAATTACACAACTAAGAACCGTCTTAGATAGATAAGCAGAAAAGCACACGCAATGTGGGTGTGGCTTGTAAGACCGACAGAGAAACTGCAGAGTTGCGACTAGAATTGGTGACTTTCCAAGCCTTCATGTTCCAGTAATCCTGTCAACGAGTTGACTGGTAATGCTTAGGCAACATATTCATAAAACTCAAGAAGCTTAATTAACAATCTCCATCATAATATCTACTGTAGGTAACCATCACAACACGAACAAAGATTTGAAGAACCGAACCTCTGTCTTCAGATCAATGCCGTACATACAGTACACATTTTTTATGGGTGGTCTCTCCCACGGGGTAAGTGGATTCAGAACTGGGTCTTCCAAGTAGTATCTTCAAACAGAAATGAAACTCGTTAGTTCTCGATAGAACTCCGCAGTAAGTGTGATGAAGATTTAAATTCGCACATACAGAAGAAACGGTGATTATGTAAAGAAGATGTACCGCAATGAGGCCTCTCCCACACAACTGGTGAATATAATTTAAAATCCAACCTTTAAAACCATCAGGAGTTCAATTCTCAATTGAAGTTATAGCATACTTAATAGATGGTCTAATCTCCTCGTACAAAAGGAAGGATTGTTGCGCAAAAGATGCACTGGAGTGTGACATTTGTCACACTTTTGAAGGGATTGATGACCTACTTGTAAAGGTGATGGAGGGTTACGTTTAAAGTAGGGTCGAGTTCGCTAATTTCACGTAAGAATGTCCCATCTGCTAATTCTTGAGCTGAGTAAGATTTCTGTGAAGAAACACCACATTGTACAACGGCAGTAGCAGATTCTTCTTGCACTGGCACTTCAGGATATGCACTGGATATTCCAGGAACGCCTGTAGAACCCACACTCGCATGATCAAGATACCGTGATGAGATTGTCAGGAAGTCAAATTATTCCAAAAAAGTAGCATGCAGTAAACTATTAAGGCTGATATGGATAAATTCTTCATTATCCACGCTCTTAGAGATCTACTCAATGCGAAAAGAAACTATACATGTTTGGAAGCTTGGACTGATCTACCGTTAATAAAGAGGGAGAGCGTGGCAGCTACGGGGAAGGGTATGCTTCAGTGTGTAACTTAAACGTAATCGTACAACAAAGCTTAAAAAACACTACGGACATAGCCATCACACTCTCATATGACTCATGAGAGCTGGGATCCACCAAGTACTCCGGAATGTACGTACTCCAATAACTCCCACCATTAAAAGCGATAATTTTTTATATGAAGTTCAACCATTGCACGAGCTGATAATACCGCAATGAAAGAAGTCCACTTGATCTTTGGGTGTCTTTGGGTACAATGGTGATATTTAGAAGGGATAAGAACACGGCTGCTATGATGTGTCTTAGAGTAAAAAATGTACTGGACAACAACAGGTACAAAGGATGTGAACCTGAAGGTGGAGCAGGCGTTTCAATCGTCACAACATCGACGGGCCAGCCAGAATGGTTGGATGATTGTTGCTCAGCATCACACACATAATGCTTTGGACTCTCTCCGTTTAGAAACTTTTGGCAACGCTTCGGATCCGCATGACAATGTGGGGAAATTGGCAACATCCAAAGACTCGATCCAAAGCTGTTGCCCATCTGTCTAGCGGTCCCCTGCCCAATGCATGTCGTAATTACATATTCTTTAGAAATCCATGATACGACAGGCTCTCTCATCCTCGTGATCCGTCCTAATGACATGAAGACTGAGTTCGAATAAGAATACCTTGTCTAAGTTCCGTGTACACCTAATTATATATAACAATATGAACAATTTAGCAATGATAGACTCAATGAAGTAGGTTGATAGGAAGCAGAAAAAATATATATTATCCAATGTTTACAACCTCAGCGATTGGCAGTCCAAAGGTTAATCCTGTCAGTAATCCCTTCAATGTTTCTGCTGCTCCCAACAGAGGTGCTCCTGAAAAGAAAAGAGGATAAAAAATCATGTGCTGGCTATTGCATAACTTACACGTTCTAATCTTAACAAAAAATTGGTATAGCAAAGACTTAAGGAGTTCGTTTAGATAAATTGACTTGCAAAACCCTTAAAGGAGTGGAGGGAGAGCGCAGACCAACAGCAAAGTAGGAATGGACGTGATCGTCGAGCCAACGGATGTAAGACTTAGGGGCAACCTCCATTTTCAACCACTCCAGAAAGTATCGAAATACATTGTTGCCTAAGGAATGAGCAAAAACTATTGAAGGGCCTCCCTTCAACTTCCGTGCCGTTTCGAAGGCTATCCTGAAATCAGCGATGAAAAGAAAAAATTTGTCACAAATTTCTAGGAGAGATTAACTTATCGACGTAGAAACCTTAATTGCATCACATACGACAGGATGGTCCCTGTACTTATGTAGAAAACGCCGAACAAGGGTGGTAAGAAAGTATATCCCTTATAGGAGTTTAGTTGCAATCTCAAAAAGTAAAAAATCCCTCGTAAGCTGCAAACCATATACACAATCTAGAATCGTGGTATTTCGATGGAGTAATGGTATCGTGATATTTCTCAGTGCATCGTTAAAATTTGGACTCAGAGGAGGAAACATACTTACTTCAGCTTGTGGAAGTACAAGTCTCTTTTCTCTAACATGGGACCTGATAATCGCCAGTCATATGGCACTGCCACGATCGCATCCGCCTCTATTCCAAACTCTACACACCAGTTCACCCATTCTCTCCAGACTGATGATGCTGGACCTAAGAACCGAACACTGAGTGTCATAACTCTGTTATTAAAGAAAAAACATCTCACAAATAACTTAAACGGATTCATATCCGATACTGTGTAAAACTGCAAGTGACTTCCAGTTCTACACTGGATAGCCATGGTTAAGTCATGTACAAACACAGAGAAGAGGGCAAAACATCCCAAAGGACCAGATCGATGGCAGAAGGATATTGTGGTTTTGCTTCCTCCCAGCGTTTCACAAATCTGACCTCTCGAACTCCGCGATACAACGTACATCGTCGTCTTCAAGCAAAACCTTCGGGGTGATTCCGGGGCATTTTAACAAATTAAGGCAACAAACAACATTGCGTGCTCTGCACAATGTCTAATTGAAGAATTGTCCAGTGATTTGAAGGGAACAATCCTAATACAATGGAGACCCTCTTGGTTTAATTTTCCGTCTTGCCGCTTCTCTTCATCCCTTCTACTTTCTTGTTCTCTAGTCTATTACGATTAGCACTGCTCAGGAAGGGCGTGGGGTCTATGTTCTTCAAGCTGTGCCTAGCATATACTATTAAGCACTGTCTACATTGGACATCAAAAATTTGAAGCCTCGGACTTCCAACACCACAGCTAGCTGGATATCAATTTGGCCACAATACTAGGTCACCTCTAACGCTTGTTTAAAAATTTATGTACTTCTTTTATTAGGCTTCAACGATCTTAAGGACGAAAGTATGCAGAGCTTGCTTATGTTCTTCATAAGCCAATTTTTCAATGTCCATGCATGGTTGCCTTCTTAGAGGCCTAAACTGACGCTCCTGCCTTCTCTTGTGTCTTCCTTCCTGCTCATGTATGTGGAAACTCCTGTTCAGTGCTACGGAACAATTCCTCGGATCGGTTTATTCCTTCAGTTTTGGCCTCTGGCATGTATGGCGTATGACGTACCGTCTGGTTGCATGACCTCGTATTTCCGGTTGTTGATGTTAGCCACTAGTAGCAGAAGCTTGTCTAAACGACTGATTCAGGCTAAATTGTAATTAGAAGTCAGTTGACCAATTTGGTCCAAACAGAGAAACAGATCGCACAATACTTGTTACTTGCTCCGTGATTGCACAAACAAGAACCGAAATTCAAGTTTTCAACACTTCAAAGTTCAAACCTGAACCGAAGGACAAAAGGAGTAGATACTGACCTGTAATATATCCCGGATCCAGTTCTGTTATAGCAGAAAGGCCTGTATCCGGTCGTGACTTGCACTCTGGGTGATCTTCTTGAGTTTCTGGATCTAACATCATACATTTGAGCCAACAATTCAATACGGACAGAACCTGCATCCAGATCACTCCACCTTGAGCAATACAGAAGACTATTCAATAAATCAATGAAAATGAGCTACATGACCATTTACAAACTTGTCTGGGCTAAGGGACGGCAAATTTCTGGTCGCTGGCTGAACCTGAATGACCATCATCAAAATTGTGTTTTCCGATTGCGGCGAAGTTCCATAAACAATCACCACAGAGAAGGAAAGAATTTGGATAGGTAAAAATCTTTTATGGCGCAATTGAGGCCATTGCAGTTGTAGCTCTGAACATGATGGATGAACTTATTCTCAGAGACTGGAAAAAGCTGGCCCGAAAGTATGTTTAATGCATAAACAGAAGAAAGACATACGTAAAGTAAGCTGATGTGATTTCATTAACAAACCTAGAGGAGATATATAAATTGAGGTTCTAACCTTTCTAACATCGATCCAGACAGGATCCAGAGGACTGAAGTCCAGGGGGGAATAGGGACAATCGAGCATCGCCCATGCTCGCAGGCGAGTCGAAGCAAAGCCGGGTATGATAAGACCTGATAACTTGCTAGCACCAGCACCCCATATGCGCTTGTCAACTCCAGTGGCTCCCGTTGTTGTCGGCAGAAGTGCAACGATAAGCAGCAGGAAAAAGACACCACCGGTGCACACTCGGAATACCCCTTTGCGAGCCCAACACTCATACACAGATCGGACTTCTCTCATGTCTCCCATAGCTGTACAATTATCAGAGATTACATTCTCGAGAAATAATACTTCAGCAATAATGCAAAGGTATTCCTGTAACACGTTGACTGTAATCAAAGGAAAAAGTAATGGTCCAAAACATTGTGAAGATAGTCGGGGACACAAATTTTGATCACTCCACGCACCGTTTCACAGCTTCGTTAACAGCAACTTCTGTACCAAAGCAATAAACGATTGAACGAATCATGCTTTCAAGCTATGAAGCGTTCATGTAGCTCAATTATTGGCAAATGGGGAAAAACCTCCACAAATGATAGCAGATCCCGCTTGAAACAGATTCTTGACAGTGGACACACGCTCACCCGAATTTTTTATCCTTCGAGCAGTCGATCCCATTCGAGGTCTTCGATCCAGAACAAACTCCTTCAGGCCACTTCTTTCCCCCCAGTGTCGAACATTGTCCTCTCCAAATTTCAAAAATTTGCACCAGTCCATTCAGCATTAGCGTCGGATATTGCAATCCAAAATTCCAGCTACAAGTCCAACTACTATCGAAGACTTGTCATCTCATGAATTCCGTAATGTTGCGTAAATTCTTGCAAAGTGCCCTTTGTGAGCGCTTCACGAACAGTCTACATCTCAGCTCTCCAGACTAGGAAAAATTTACGAGACTGCTTCTCTCGGTCGTCGTCTCGCTTTCAAGATTTCACAGACCACAAGGTCACATGAAACCAAATCCGGGAAGACACACTTACAATCCAATTCTCAAAACTAATCTGGAGCCGATTTCTAGCAAAATCCCAGAATAGCTGATAAAATTTCCTCCTCTCCCACTCATTTCTGCTGCCAACGTCGGTGGGTCGGTCAGACTCAAATCTGACAGACGCTGACGCTAGTCCCTCATGAACATTTCCAAGCCAGTCCCTGCTGCAACCAGCCTCGCTGCGAAATGGCCAGTGCAGCCAAATGCCCCAAGTCTATCACCTTCAAAATCCTGAGCAAAAGCCAGCAAATTATCGGTAGTCTGACTCGGAGTCCAGCAATCTCACGGCCATTTTCGACAGCCGAAAGATTGCGCTCATCTTCCGAATGAAGCAACAGAGCCCAAGGCCAGAGGCCACAACCGGGATACAGCCCGATGCTGCCAATCGAACGCACTTAAGCTCCACTCCTGGGCCGTGTTCTGCTGCTGCTGCTGAGTCCAAACTGCATCTCCCACGAATGTATGCGCTCAGCAGACGAGACGATTGCGTGCAATCAGCCGGTCCCACGCCACCTTTCCTCTCCCGAGCAAAGAACCGATTGACTCGCTCCCCGTCCCCTCGACAATCGCCGCATAATATTCGGCAGCGGGCCGAATTAACAGCACTGCCGCGCCTTTTTCTGAAGCTCCCTCCCTCCCTGGCCTCGGACCCGACAGGCTCACCTCACCCCACCCTCGCACTCTTCCTCCCGGCCCGCCTTTGCACTCGCAAGCAAAATCTCCCTCCCTCCCTCGCTCTCGATCCCTCGATCCCTCGATCCCTCTCGAAGTCGTCGTCGTCGTCGAGCCGCGAGAAATGGGAGACTCGCAGATTCGCGAGCTCGTCGCCGAATTGGAGCCAGCGACGGGACGGGCTGTCAGTCAGCACGCTTCCCCGCTCCCTCTGCAACGTCTACGAGCTTAAGGGAGCATGACGCGGCCCCCCGGGAGAAATTAAATGTCTGCCGCGCCAGAATAATCTCCCCCGCGCCCGCGGCCGCCGTGGTGGCTGCTGCTGCTCGTCTCGGCTCGTCCGTCCGTCCACTCTACCACGGTCCCCGCCAATCATCCGGCACCACGACCGCCGTCCGATCACTCGCCCCATCACACAACTTTCCTCCGTCGACCGACATCGCGATTGCTTCTGCTTCGGGCATGCTTCGGACCTGCTTCGGATGCGGTTCGGAGGCGATGTCCGCGCACCGGTGTGCTCAACACTTCTCCGCTCGGAGGCGCTTTTTGAGGTCGGATGATTCGCGTACCGCCGGTCCGTCTAAGGAAACAGTATCTCGGCCTCTGATATCCATCGGTTATTGACCGGGGATTTAGATCTCGGCCGGTCAAAGCGCAGGCGCTCGACGATTCGACCACGTGACGAATTGGTCGACCGCCGTCTCGGGCTGCCGGAGAGGGTGTACTTCCCCGTCCGGGGAGAATGTACAGTACGCAGCCGAGTCGTCGCATACGGTACGGGGGGGCTATATACGGATCACCAAAGCAGCTACAGACAGATCATTGCGGAGAAAGTCGCGCAGAATTCGTCGTCCAAATCCGGAGGTGGAAAACTGCAATTCGTGATTGTTCTAGAGACGATGCTTTTTGTCCATAGACTTCACCCGAACCACAGTCTCTCGGCTGTGATTGCAAAGTCTTCCGATGTTAGAAGCCTAAATACTGAAGTCGAAACTTCGGCATCCGTCAAAGCCGCAAGCACCGTGTAAGAACCAGAATCCTGGACGACTGCACGTAAGCAAGCGAATGAAGTATGTTGGAGTAATTGGTGAGCTGGATTGGATGGTGACAAAAGTGAAGCATCGAAAAGCGGAGCCTTGTTGACAACCTGACAGCATTCGGTATTACACATGTGCATCCTCATCTGTATCGATGCCGTTGGGATTTCGGCACCACAGCGGATTTGGAGCCTTGTGTGCTGAGATCTGGATATCGATGGATTGCAGGTTATGCAGTTATGCATCGGAAATCGTCCGATTGAGAGAACTCGGAAAATTAAGAGTACCTTGTCTTCATTCTCATTTGAAGTCTTTGAATTGTTTCACATTGGAATTTCATGATTCTGAGTCAATGCAAGTTAACTTCAGTAAAAGAATTTCAGCCGCCCATAACAGCTCTGCAATGAAACTGCTTGAGCTGTATCTTACTTTTTGTGTTTGCTGAATTTAATAATATTTGGCACTATGGTTAGTATTGTTGTCTTGTTTTGGAATTGGGAAGAAGGAAGTTGAGTGAAGGAATCTCTGCATTAAGATAGGAATCACCTCACCTCAGGTCAGCATCTCAACGATGAAGGGCGGAAGGGTTGCGAATTATGTTCGAATGGTTGGGTAAGAAGAAAATAAGGACAGTCCGTTGTCAATCTGGGGTCTGGGGCTTTTCCGGACGCCAGAAAAGCCACACATACACCTTGAATGTGTGCCTGGAGAGCCGTCGACTTGTTTCAACTTTTGATCGGAAGGTGGCGCAGAGAAGGTTGTTGGGAACGTGGGATGAAGACCGTCCCCGAAGATCGAGGACTACACGTTTGGACATCTTGACGAGTGAAAGCAAGAACAAAATTCGGCACGATTGCTTCTACAATGTCCCATTAAAGTTTGGGACAGATTTTTCTTAATACTCGCGTGAATGAATACCTTCGCTTTTCTCCCTCCGAGATCAGATCATAAAGCGGCTTAGGGGCTGAGCTTTGCGCCAGATCAAAAGAACGATTCTCCATCGATCGATGCAACCTATCTGAACAGACAGTAGAAGATGGTTCCAAATGAATGGAACATGAAGCAGCCATTCGAGTGCAATGTCAGCAGAGAAATGGAAAAGTAGATCGAAAGAGGAGAGAGTGGAGGAAGGCCCGAACGATTGGGTGACGAGTGGTAGCCCATGGTGGATTGGAAAGTCTGCAAGCAAGCCATTGCCAGCGCTCTCATTACAGATCTATGCATTTGAGATTCTTTGCCCCTTTAACATGAGTTCATTAGGAAACCAGGAACCTATATAGTAGCGATTAAATTTGATTATGAAGCTTCCTTACACTGAACTCCACAAGCCTGTTCAGCGACGCAGTATCATAGCAATAAGCTCCTGAAGGACTTGGAAGCGACAGCAACGAATGAAGACGTATGCTCATACCAGAAACGAAAAATTATTAGTTGGAAACTTTTCGCCGATTGTTCGGTTGGAGCTATCAAGGTTTGCGTATGAGTCGAGAGCATTATTTTATTTTGATGTTATAATATGAAGATATAAAATGAGCAGATTTCAATTTCCATATATGAACTTATCTTCCAGTTAACTTGGATCGATGTTTTAAAATATACTTTTATATACAGAAATTCATATACAATGACATATTGCAAATTAAAACGTTAAAAAAAGATGTTGACATTGTGTATATATTTACATAAGTAAAATAATTCATTCAACATTTTTCTCATGTAAACAAATTTTGATTTATCTATGACGCTTAACTTTACTCACAAAGTTTATAACATTAGATATCTCTCTATAAATCATATTAAAATTATCTAGAATCATATTTTAAGAGTAAAATATTTTATTTTATCAAAATAAACCTTAAACATCAAATTATGCATCTTCAAACTAGAGTTAATAATCATCATAGTCATAAATAAAAATAAAAATTTATTTTTCCATAGAGTAAAAGAATTCTTTACTTTAATCAATCTTTGAAATCATGTTTCTTCGCAGTTTTGCTGCCACAGATTTTTTTAATCACAGTATCAACTCTGTATTCTATAATTGACTTCTTCTGCTTGATAAATTTTGGTATATACTTTATAATAATATTGTGAGTCCATTTAAGCTTGATACAATGACAATTGGATGCCTTTATGATTGATTTATTGTTGCATATTTTAATGGTATTTTGGAAAAAAAAAGCATTCAAATGTCAAATTTTTCATCAAATTTCTTTATCATCAATAAATTGAGTACTTAGTACAAAATATTTATCCAAATTTTGGCATATTTTGTTTTATATTATATTTATTCTTGTCACTTTTGTTTTTTATAAATAAGTAATAATTTTTTATATAAACTTATTATTTTACTACATTTTTTTAAATTCTTTGGATTTATAAGAAGTTCATTTAAAAATATGTTGGAATAATTATATGGCATTTAAAAAATTTAGAAGATTCTAATAGTTCAACTTGACATTTAATATAAAAAATAATGCTTATGCTTAATCCAACCCATCAATATTTTTTAATAACTAAAATAATCAAAATTTAGCAATTTATTACATCTTTCGATAATATCATTTTTTATTTAAAAAAAATAGTTTGATAAAAAACATTATTAATTTTTTTTAAATAAAATTATATTTAAGTTATTTTTAATAGAATTTACATTTAACAGTGACTAGAATAGATATAATCAACTTTATGGCTAATTTTATAACATTTTATCTTAATAGATTATATCAATGTTGATTTTACATATAAATTTTATATTAATTATAAGAAAATATAATAATCTTGCTTCCTTGTAATTATCACATCAATCATCACAATGATTAAATCATTTTATAAAATCAAAATCATATTTCATTCACACTGAGAAGTTATGAGATTCATCAAGACGATATGAATCATCATTAGTCTTCCATATGAAACAATGTTCTATTGTTGATTTTATATTTTGAATATAAAACTCAAATCAATTTATCTGCTAACATCATTAAATAAAATCATAAGTAAATTTGAATAATAGTATATAATAGAAATAACATATATTGCATTTTACAAAACAAAAAAAAATCAATATATCATTTGTTTGCAAATTCAATGAGATTTTGACGTTATTCAAACTTGAAAATTGTGAAAGGCATGAAATTACATCTATATTAGGTTTTTCAAGAAATATTTATGTCTTGATACTAAATTCAAATAAAAAGTTTATATTGTGAAAAAATGCATATTTTTTTACAACTGATTCACAAAAAATATATTAGACGTGTTCATCAAATAAGTTTAACTATTTATCTAAAAAATAAAAATTGTAACATAAAATTACGTCTTGAATTTTGAACATAATTTAATCTAAAAATAATACAATCTAGCAAGATGTGGAAAATATTTTGCACAATTTTTAGCTTAAATTATTGATATTTTTGTTTAAGCAAAATTTTGTATAGCATGCGAATTAATAATTTAATAGTTTGATTTTGACATTATCATACGATGACAATGTCAAAATCATTATCATATGGGGACATCGGGGAGGGGTGATGGTGATGGCGGATGAAGGCGCACGGCCGACGGTACGTTGTCGCGCCTACTAGTGCTTGCACAGTGAGAGATTTCGAGGTAGCAAATTCATAATCGTGTGCGACATCAATTGACGAGTCGATTGAGGGGTTCCTTGATCCTAGGGAATACTCCCACATGGAGAATGAAATTCTTAGGATTTATCATGCAGCCCGAAGCGTCACTTACAAGGCGATCCTCTACATTGGAGCTTGCGCCTTACCTCCCTCTAACAAGATTTCTGACACCATGGACTTTTTGACGGCCGCCTTGGATGCTGGCAAGTTTGACAAGAGCCATGTAAATCTACTCCGGATGCATGATGGAAAATTCCTCCCACTATGCACCTTTTGCAACTACCAAGGGATTCTCGTCTGTGGCTGATTTTGGTCTCCTTCACGCTTTCTGCCGCTGATCAAGCCATTGTAGCTCAAGAAATTTTTGCACTTGGCGAACAAGTGGTTTTGGCGTGCACTGTAGAGTGGACGTTGAAGGACGCCACATGCGAACACATGTGTACCTTCTTCATTCACATGGCCCATCCGGACACTGTTCATTCGTATTGCTTAGTCGGGCATACCTTTGCTTATGATCGGACGGATGGCGCCGCCACCACGCATCAAATACTCACGTATGCTCTTCTTAGATTCCAAGATGAAGCGGAACTCTGGT